GAAATCGGCTTTCTGCCGCGGCGCCGTTTTAAAGCGCCCTTCTGTTACCGCGCTGTTGTCGCGGCGGTGATGCCGCGCGGGGATGCCTTCGCGGCTTTAGCAACGCGCTTATGTCTCCGCGGATAAGGGCTTTGCGGTTTTGTTGTGCCACGCATAAATTAACTGAGGCACAAAGATGGGGTGAAGCTTCTGCTTGAAAGTATGGTGTTGAATTCATTAGGGCTTCAACAATTTGTAGAATGAGGGTGAAGGAATAGCCATGGTTCTTCCGCCCATCCAAATGAATCACCATTAAAATAATCTGGAAAGAAAAAATATGCTGAAAACAAACTTTTGAAATTCAGGAGCACTCTGGTAAAATGGATGCAGAGGTTCTCGGGAGTAGTTGTGACTCCAGAGGGTTTCTTAATCTAGTTCTTTTTCGTTTCAGCTCATGGAAGCCCTCAAAGAACAGGAGGAGATCAACTACAGATTGCGCCAATATATGGACAAGATCATCCTGGCCATCTTAGACCACAATCCGTCCATCCTGGAAATAAAAAATTGAAGATTATGGGTGGGAAGGGAGGCGGGCAGATAGGATGCCTTTAGATTCAAGTATCTCTATTTGCTACTGTATATGAACTTATAAATATATACATATATATAACTCTCTCAATACACATAACATACAAAACACAAACACACACACGCGTATATATATATATTATATATATATAAATAGAAAAAAAAACTTGTGTGGATATACACAGGGCGTGTTTATATGAGCTTAGTATATTTTGTGACTCATAATTTGCATCGATCCATTTTCCACGCCCTCTCTCTGTGGTGAGGCTAGGGATTATAACTGAAAAATCACAAAACTGGATTTTGCACTGTTTTAGATACCGGACAGAAAAAAAAAAATTGATACTACCTCTAGATGAAAAGATAAAACACGATGGAAACTAACTTGTGCCAGGCCTTTTCCTAGCCTACAAACAATACTGAGTGTTTATGTCTTATGAATCGCCTCCCTCTCATCATCTCAGAAATATCTTGTATTATCAGGTTGAATTCTCACTGATGCTGTTGGCTGTGTTGTTTTAACTTTGTCCAAGTTATGTTTCTGAAGTCCTCTCCTTAGATCTGAATGTATGCATGCTGCAAAAGTGGGTCTTCCGGAAAATTTACAAGTTTCTGCTTGAACTTGGGCTGTTTTAATCAAAAAGCAGTTTCTACATCTCGACCCCAATTGGCTTTGAATCCTTTGGGATGGTGAACAGTTTGTTGTATTCCGGGGGAATCTGGAATACTCAGGAAAACGATGGGTCTTGGGGTTCCATATTTTCTTCAACTTATCAGACTATTCCCGAGGTGCTTTTTCTGGCTTTGGGTTTTATCACAACATCACCAAGGACCCTGGTGGTGGGAGACCTGGGTTCATAAATGCAGGGTGCATCGGGGCTACAAAACAGTCCCAGCCCTGATTCAGCTTCAGCAACAAGCATTAAAAAGTGGTAGTTGCAGAGAGCTATTTGGTTCCACACAAAGGGTTGGTTCATTGGTGAGAACTCGGGGCTGCCACCGTAAGAAATAGAAACCAATTGTTTTTAAATCACTTCATTTTATATTGCTTCGTGTCAGCATCTGCAAAAGCACCCTCTGCTAATAAAGCAGTTAAGAAGTGGAGAATGATTGGGGGTTTTAGGCACTCATGGGTGACACTGACCCTGTTTTTACAGACAAGGCAACATTTTAAATTGTTTTTTTACAGGTTTAGGAAAAAGATGTTTATACATGCTTAATATTTATTTCATGCAATTTTGGAGTTTCACTGAAACGTTTTGCCTACTTTACTGGGGGTGATTAGCGCAGAAAAGCCAGAAATGACTGTTAATCGAGCATCACAGCTTCCTGCATTTACAGGAAAAAAATATTACGCTCAATTTGTGCCATCAATAAATATTATCATATTGATTCAGGCTGTTCATGTCTTCATGTCTCTTGCCCTTGCCATCACCACCACCACCACCACCTTTTTCTCCTCCTCCTCCTCCTCCTCCCTTTTTCTTTTCAATTGTGCTTCTGTAACAGCATTCCTCATGACGTTTTATATATCACTTACCCAGGCATGCTATAAGGAAATCTGTAAAGTTAAGTGAGGGCTTGGGCAGGGGACCATGACGGAAATGAGTTTTGTCTTTTCACTTCAAGATTTTTCCATTCCTGTCTGAGATGTGTTTTGATTTTTAAAAAAAACCAACAAGCCAAGCTTTATGTGCATTGCAGTAACAATTCTGGTGCATGAACACATGCAGTCACATGCATGTGAGAGAAGAGGCGTGTGTTATTCTGTAATGACTTGTGTGCAGGCCTCATGGTCTTCCCACACCAAAGATAGGCGCAAGATATCTCCCTGGATATCTGCATTACAGATATCCATAAGCCTTGTTCAGTACAGTTGGTGTCCAAGTATGATATAATCTGTAGTCTAAAAATATCTAGGAAGCCCCAAGATTGCCTTTCCCATCACACATGAAAGGGAACTGCATGCTCTGTGTAATGGATAGAAAAAACGTGGTTCATATGTATTGTTTTCTTTCATAAGCACATTTCCACTTTCAAATGAAACTGTCTTTTTTTTCCTCGCAGTGTCCTGAGTAAAGTTTGTGTAATTAATTTGAGAGTCTTAAAAGAATAAAAATATTGAATCTGAGGTTACTGTACTATCAGTACTGAAAGTATTGATGCTTCTAAGAATTGAAACCTGTTTCCAAATTACGTGGCAGGATGGTATATAAATTATGACATTATGTTGTACTTAAGATATTTCACATTCAATCAAGTGTTTCTGCAGAAGTATGAATCTCAGGGGGGGGGGCAGGGATGACGACTGCATGTGGGGTCATAGCCTTGTGTTTATTGGCTGTATTTTCTAATTAGTAGCAAGAGAGCTAATAATTAATGCAAGGTGATACTGGCCAGAGCCAGCCATTACTTTTTACTCAACATCTAAACTTCTAATACCTCGTTGGCTTTCGACCTTCTGAATTTGGTGGGAATGAAACTGACTCCAATTGCATCGCTACCTTCTTTTTAGGTAGTCCAGTCATGATTGAATAAAGGAGAATCCTGAATTCTTTTCTTAGTCAGGATTTTCCAATGCCTCATGTAGGCTGGAAGGAATCCCGCTCCTGAAGGAACCACATTCCCCCACTTTTCTACATTATCCACTTGCTGCAAATTACAGCAATGCTTCCTTTCTCTGCTTGGGAAGGGAGGTGATGTAGCAATCATGGACCTCTGGAGAATTTATATTTTTACAGGTTGCCTTTCAAAAGACTGAGGTTAAGGCTACTTAACTCCAGCTTGTTTTTGGTTTATCCTGCTGATATTTTAATGGTGGTGAGGAATTGATGACTTCATCAGTTGAATTGATAGGGAAGGAAGCAAAATGTATCTGAAAGTTCTTGAAAGCTGAAAGAATTGGGCATGTTGACTTTGGAGAAGATTGAGGGGTGAAGTTCTGAGAGAGAGAGAAATCTCCAGGAGTGAGGAGGCGAAGAGGTGAATGGATGGAAACTGAAGGAAGGGTTTTATATGAAACAGGAGTAATCCTGACTGAGGAGAACGAAGTGGTTTCCAAGAGGTGGCAGAAAGGCAGTCTTGCTTGCAGATGATTACATTGGTTTGGATTAGCAAGTATTGAGGGAGAGAAAACTTCCCAATGTGGTGCCTCTTAGGTTGATGGTGCATCTCACGGTAAACTAGCATTTAGTTTATCAGATTAGATAATCTGATTCCCTTATAAATTGGGACTGTATTAAATCAATCCTTTGCTACCAAACCTCAATCCACACAGTATTCATGGTGGGTTTTAAATGAGTCTTTGCGTCCATCAGCTTTCTTCTTTGCTCATAGATGATCCATAGAAATTGTGAAGCAATGTTTTGATGATGTTTCTAGGAGCCAACAATTTCTTTAGACAGTTGTCTGTGTTTGTATTATATGACTGCCTTTGCTTTATCACAACAGGTTGGGAGAAATAAGTGCAGATACCTGAGGCCTGCTTGATCATCATAGCTTGTTTAGAATTCGTGTACCTGGGACATAGGTTTCTACCAATGCTAACGTTTTCCAGCATGACTTCAGATCAGAAGTTGTTGAAAAGCTAGTCAGATCTTCTGATGAACATGTTTGGCCACCAGTACAACATTGTGTTATAATGCAGTGATAAGGCCAAAAAGGAGGGACCATAGTACATTAACAGAGGGTAACTGTTTACTTATGATTGAATATGATGGGATCTTTCTAGATAGGTTCGTTTATATGCCTCTGAACCAAGGCTGCAGGAGTTGGGTGTCTTTAGTAGTGGAATGTTGAAGCAGGGTGGATTGCTGGATTATATTGAAACTATAATTGATAGGCCTCTAGCTGAAAGTAAATCACTATTTCTGAATGGGTATGGATACATTTGTGCTATGCAAAAAAAAAGACTACCATGCAGGACATGAAAAAGAGTTGCTAGTTAAAATTGGGTTTAATCTGTAGGCACAAATCTTGTTTGCTAGGAAAAGTGTCCTAATTTTAAAGTTTACAGATGTTCCCAGTGAATTTCAGGCTCTTCATCACTGGAAGTGCTTTTTTAAAGACTTAAGCTGCTAAGAATTTTGGAAGTCCACATATTTTAGAGGTTACCCCATTAGGGACAAGATCAATGTTATACTTCAAACAGCAGTTCTTATTCTACACTCAAAAGATAACAAGGTTTTATTTGCAGTGGTCCTTAAGTAAATTTCTGTTGCTGTCTGTTGGGCAGAATAATTTCTCAGCTCTTGTAGATCTCACCAGTGCAAGGTGCATGTTGTAACGAGGTCAACCTAATCCATGTGCAAACCTGACTGAGAGGGTGCTAAATAGACAGGAGTCACTTTTAGCCAATGGGATTTACTAATGGGCATCTACCAATAGTTTCATTTTCTCAACATAATTTCTCATCACACTGTCAGGACACTTTTATTCTTGGTTAGGATAAAGTACATTAGTGTATGCTTGTCTATTGAGCCAGGATTTCTTGTGTATTTGTACAATGGGGCAAGGCACTGACGTAACAGTCCATGGTTGGAAACAAATAGTTTGCTTTAACCTGATCCAACAGCTTTAATAGAACTTCAAAATTCTGATAATGTTGATGAACAGCTGGTTGAAACTGAGACACTTCGTTCTCAGTCTCTCTTATTGGATCTCTTCCCTACTTCTAGTTGTTGGAGTGCCTTCAATCCAGTTTGTATTCTGTGAAAGCAAAAAAGAACTGCTTCTCTAAAGGCAACAAGTGTTCACTGGACAACAAGTCATCCCTGAGGTTAAAAACAGTAACTTTCAAAACTTTTAGTAGAATTTAAGACATCCTGACCACCATGGATGTTACACTAAAGTTGTAGATTTGATTTTTTTTCCCCATTGAAATCATGAATACAGTTGCATATTACATTGAACAGAATACATTTACACTGCTCTACTTTGAATTCTACAATGTTGGGAGATTTAGTCACTTTTCCTGTATCCATTATTTAAAATTGTGAATTTTAGGAAAAGCATCATTCATCTTGGCAAATGAACAGATGAACTAGAAATTTCCTATTCAGTAGTCTATATAGTAGGGCACATATAGTAGTGAAAACTAAAATGTTATCAAAATAGGTTTAATTTTTTAGAATTGATCAGACAATCTGAATTCTACAACTCAGATTCTGAATTTCAGCTTTCAAATAATGATAGAAGCCTGGACAACTATTATCTGGTGCTTGGGTTTTCGGTTATGGGATATGAAGAGAAAGAAAACAAAGGCTAAAACAAAGTTGTAGGTTATAAATCTGAGCTGCTTCTGGTCTTTTGGCTTAAATAGCATTGGTGGCCCTTCTTCCTTTAGGACAAAGAACTGGCTGCAAATATTCTGCCCTTTTCTGCATTCCCAAAGCAATGATCACCTGTAGCTGAGTTTTGTTTTTGGCAAAGTGAGGCCCCTATAGCAATTCCTCCTTTGGTTGATAAATGGGATCAAGTCAACTCCCCTTTGGCTGTGATTGTATTCTAGGGAAAAAAAGATATACCGGTAGCTTCCCTGGAGCCCTAGATTCCTCTTGTTAATGATAGAAAAAATAAGAGTGTGTTCCCTTTCTGATCTTAGTGTTCATTTTTTTGGAAAATTAATCCATTGTTATCCTTGTACTTCTGAAGTGGCATGTCAACACCTCAGAATTACAGATAGGGGCTGTTCAGAATGCCCATGCATGTACATAAGTAAGATTACAAGAGGAAAAGGTGGGAAAGTTTCACCATTAAAGACCACAGGTATAATTAATGCAAATCCTCAGTTCAGATTTATCACTGCTCACCCCAACTTATGAAATTAGCAAGCTGGTCTTTCAAGATGAGCAGGGCAGAAAACAAATTAAGCATCTTTGATCTGTATGTTACAAGGCAGTAGCTGTTCAATCCCCAATGTGTTTTGGTACTGATAGAAATTGAGAATTGCTGTATTTTTTTATTGTGGGAACCACTATTGTAGTTTCGCTTTATTGCACAGAATGTAGTTATGTGTAAGGATTGGATTTTTTTAAAAAAATATTTTGCATGATTCTAGTATTTTTGTGCCTTCTACTTGACTGTGTACAGAATTCATGTCTATTGAAATTCATGCTATTGGCCACAGGTTTTATATGTTTGAAGTCTTTTATTTTTATTTGATCTTTATTTTGCCATCCCTACCCGAACAATCTACTGTAAATGTGTATATATAAAATAGAACTAAGTTTGTATTTCATGTGCCTCACTAGAATGTAAAAAAAAACCAGATGTATTCATTTTGTACAGAATGTCTTTCTTTTACTTAGATGCACTAATTGTTGTCCTGAGCACATAGTGAAATAACTGATTAGCTCTGTTTTCTTTTAGCATTGCTGTGTTAAATGGAATTATCTCTTGCCCTTTTGTAAAAATCCAATTCACATTCATTCGCTGTCACATACACAAACTATGATCCTTCCTGATTTGTTGTCTTTATTTATAATGGGTTGCATCATTTCTTCCCATTTTAGAGTTTACAGCAAATTAAATTGATGGCTTATCCTAACTAAATACGTTATTTATTTCATTCTAAGAGGGATTGTGAAGTTTCCTCATTTGGGTCAGATGAACTGAAGCAAAATCACCCTCAATTAAATATTGAGTTCCAAGGCCCTTCTCTCAGCTTCAATTCCCTTCATTTATCCCACCACAAGGGAATAATCTTCTTGCCTTAACTTGTAAGATTGCTGAGTTAATAAACTATGTTGAATGCCAGAAAAATATATTGCAAATACTTAAATATTTGCCAGCTTTCAGGAGTGATTTTTTCCAGCCTGTGGGGAACAAAATTGCATTACTACTCTGAATATTATGGGACATTGTCTTACATAAAACTTTGCTCAATCAACTTTGCTTGTTCTAATTGACAGTGGCTTTCTAGAATGGCAGAGGAAGCTTTCCGGTTGCCTGATGTTTTCACCTTAATATGGCAGTTTAATAGGGAATCCTTTGCCAAGCTGAGCATAACTTCCGAGTTTAAAAGGTAAAGTTCCCCTTGCACATATGTGCTAGTTGTTCCTGACTCTAGGGGGCGGTGCTCATCTCCGTTTCAAGTCCAAAGAGCTGGCGCTGTCTGAAGACATCTCCATGGCCATGTGGCCAGCCTGCTAAATGCTGAAGGTGCACGGAATACTGTTACCTTCCCACCAAAGGTGGTTCCTATTTTTCTACTTGCATTTTTTACATGCTTTCGAACTGCTAGGTTGGCAGAAGCTGGGATAAATAACGGTAGTTTGCTCCGTTACACGGTGCTAGGGATTTGAACCACCGAACTGCTGATCTTTCTGATCGACAAGCTCAGTGTTTTAGCCACTGAGTCACCGCATCCCTGATGGAGATGTATGTCAATGCTATTTCCCATCCCTGCAAATCCCTCAATAACCAGCTTCCCACTTTTGCATTCTGTCCCTTACAGATTGTGCCATTTCCACATTAGTTGGAGGATTTGTAAATGGCTTCACAGGGGACAGATTGTCACAGCTAATGGTGAGCTTTTCTTTGTTGGAGGGTCCTCAAGCAGAGGAGGGATAGTCTCCTGACAGATGTGCTCCGATGATTATTCTGAGCAAGGAGTTGATCTGGATGATTTTACATGAACAGAATAGAACAGAGTTGGAAGGGACCTTGGAGGTCTTCTAGTTCAAGGAGCTACTCAAGCAGGTAAACCCATACCATTTCAGACACATGGTTGTCCAATCTCTTCTTAAAATCCTCCAGTGTGGGAGCACCCACAACTTCTGAAGGCCAAATTTTGACTCCCTTCAGTGGTGGGTTTCAAAAATTGTTCAAACCTACTCTGTGGGTGTGGCTTC